GATATAGAAGGAATCAGATCACTTGTTGCTTAAGGAAACCAAAAATCATCATTGAAATCTCCGTCAATAACTTGGACAAAGTCAAAGTAAAAAAGAATGACTTAGATTGAACCGAAGTCAAAAAATAAAATGACATGAATAAGACTTAATCAAAGTCTGAAAATGAGATGACTTAGACAAAGCCAAAGTCTAAAAATAAGAAAACTTGCACTCAACCAAACTTTGAAAATGAAATGACTTGGACTGAGTCTAAGTCTAATAGTAAGATGACTTGGTCTGAGCCAAAGTTTGAAAATGAAATAACTTGGACTAAGTGAAGGTCAAAAATAAAAGTCATTAGACTGAACCAAAGTTGAAAATGAAAGTGATTGAACTTAACCAAGATAAAAAAAAAATGAAGGCAATCAAAATGAGTCAAGGTAAAAAATAAAGGCGATCGAACAAAACCAAGGTCGAAAATAAAAACAATTAAACTAAACCAAAGTCATAACTAAAAATGATTGGACTAAACCAAGATCTAAAATGAAAGTGATCAAATTGAACCAAAGTAAAAAGTGATATGACTTAGTCTAAGCCTAAGTCGAAATATGAAATCAAAAGATCTTGAAAATAATAAGTCGAAGGTTTTTAAGCTTTTGTCCGGACATCTTATAAATCATGCCTGGAGGTCTTAAAGATTATACTTGAAGGTCTTATAAATCATTTTTATCTTTTAAAATGTGCTCCTATAGATAATGGTAATGATTTTTTAAAAGCTTTCTCTTAAAATGTTTCCCTTATATGAAGGTTAAGATCTTACATTTGGTAAATCCTTCTTAATCAAGGATTGACATGTCATCATTTCCTCAATCGATGATTAAAATCTTATATTTTAAAAACTTTGCTCAATTGAGGATTGACAAGTTTGAGATTTTTTTTTCTTGAAAATTTGTCAACATTTTACTAATTTCAATTTTAGGATCCAAAGTTAAAATTACTTATATATAATGAATGCCATGCATGAAATGCAATGAATGTATCCATAATTGTGATAAAAAGGTTCTCAAGACTCTTTTTCCATCTCCAAAACTAGCCACTTTCATAATTTTTATCAACTACTTTATAAACCAATTGCCTTTTTGTCAAATTTAATCACCAAGACTGAACTTATCATGAAAAACTTCTTTTTTTTTAAAATTTTGAGGATCAACATTTTCAAAAGTTTCTTTCATCTCCTCATCTTCATTCTTGGCATTTCTTATTTTCTTTTCAAAGTAATGTAGGGATCTTTTATGTATTTTATCAATTATTTCTCAACATTCAAATTTCATGAAAAATGCAATTCATTAAAATCCATTATGATAGGAAAAATGATAAAGAACAAGGTAAGTTTAAGGAAAAGCATATTCAACATAAGAATAAATCAATACAAAAAGGCAAATAGACAATTTTAAGGCATATTATTAGGATAAGTGTTTGGATGCTATAACAACATCCATATAATGAATATTCGGACAATTTTTAACATATATCTAGAATTTGACGATAGTGTTTCTTCAAAGTATGACAAATAGTTTTATTGAATACTCTTGTAATGAGAAAATGTTCTTAAATTATTACTATTATATTAGAGTAATTTAAGGAAAATTTTTAATATTAAATTATTTAGTAAACTATAAATATATTTTAAAGATTGGATAATTTGAAATCAAACTAATATCATTGTTTAGATGGGCGTTGTGAATGTGTTATAACATTTCTCACATGTAACCGCACTTCCGAACTCGAAATTTAGTTTCGTGGGCTAGAATCTACCATTTAAAGATACCTAAGTCAAACTTGAAACTTCTCTTTAAAATAGGACAGATTTAGTTAGGTGGCCAATTGCACCTAAACAAAAAAAAATTAATGGTTACTCCTAAGTTTATATCTGGTGATGGGTCAATGGATCTACACGTTATGACAATGTACACATTTGCATTTATGCACAAGCTCTATACCTATGTTTCCAAATCTGTTTCTTTAAGAGAAAGTATGTATGTTTTTGTGAGGTTATAATGCCTCCACTTGAGCTAGCCAAATACTTTTCACTCAAACTAAACCCTTTCTGTTGACAGCCTATTATAAGTGAAGATTAAGGACCTTACTATTAAATCTTTATATAATTTAATATTATCACACCCTTACACTTGAACCTTTGCTTGTCTTCAAGAAAAACTCTTAAATCAACAATATAAATAATCAAAATAAATGCACACAAAGTCAAATTTACATAAATTATCAATCACGGACTATATCATAATACAAAGATAGTTATAAACATAATTAACAAGAAACTTATTCCAAAGTAAGCTTTCAATATCACACAACTTTTACACATGTGAAGTTACTCTATCTCTAATCCATACATACAATCTAAGTAAAAAAAATACAACATATATATCACATATCAATTTAAAGATACAATATACTTCATTTTTTCACTTTCCTCTTCCCTCTCCACTAATATT